TGAAAGGCTGTTCATCCACTCATGAATAGAGTAGAAGGGGCGAAGATCGCGTCAGAAGTGGTGGGTCGAATCACCATATTCCGTTTACGGGACGTTCCACGGGTGGATATAGGACGATAAAAATCTGAAAATCTCCTCGGAAAATCCGCGCCACGGAATTCGATTTCGTCGACATTCGAAACGAATGTCCATCTCTCGTCACCCCCTCGATCCGAATAACAAAGAGCCCCTTCTCTCTCCCGATGGAAATGCTCGTTAACGTAGCACAACCTTCTCCTTCGCGTCTATTCCTTTTTTTCGCCGTCGAATCAGCCGGTCGACGTTCTCAGAAAAACGGAAAAACGCGAGGAACGAGTCCATCGAGGACGATAATTGAGAAAAGACTCGTGATATCCGCCACTTTTTACCTCGCTCTTTAATAAAGCTAACAGTGCCTTATTACCTTTGAAATGTTTATTAAATCCAGGAAATAATATCTTACTTTACTCGAAGCTTTTCACAACAAGGTATAATATTTTACGAATTAATCGCTTCTGAAAAATCTTCCCAACGTTTATGTACTTCCTTTAAGCAACGTTTAAACAATAACGAAGAATTAACCATATCTTATATTTAAATACGAAACGAATCCTAAAAATCATCGATTGAAGTGTTATCACGCTCGATCCCATCAAGAATTACCAATCTTATGCTTCCAAACATCCTAAAAGGTAGAATCCCCGATCCTAACGAGGGTTAATCGCCAGTTAAAAATCGTCTCCTCGTCGATAATCGGGGAAAGATTGGGTTTCCTCTTCACGGAAATGCGGCAAAGTCGCGATTGATCGAATGATCGAAGCGAGAGCTCGTCCGAGAGCTTAACGGGAATCGAGCGATACGCGGTAAAGCTTTTTGCGAGGCGGCTTTTCCAGGGATGCCGGGAGCAACGCAAGAACCGGACGTTCCGGATTGGCGGGCGTGAATGGAAGGCTCTCTTGCTCCTCTCGAAGGGTCGAGGTGCCGTTTCGGCATTGAATAGCGGTTTTTCCCAGCTAGTGGACGCTGGTCCCGGGACCGATTTGAATAACAAAATCACCAGGAAGACGTATTATTCGCCCTCGTGGCGGGGCACACAGCTCGCGAGTTTATCGCCGTGCCTCGTTTGCATCCCATGCGAAACCGTTCCGCCGATCGAGCACGCTCTATTTCCATCCTCGTCGATCCTTGCCTCCCCCTCCCTGCCCAGCGTGTGCCGGCCACTGAATCCATTCGTTTCACGGGAATCGAGGGGAAAAACGCGATGATCCAATTCCAGGGAAACAGAGTGCATCGCGTTAATTTGCATATTTGGCCGAGGAAAGGGGGGGCGGCTGATCCATCGATCGACGGCTATGAACGGACGGATTTCGCGGAACGGTTGAAAGCAAAGTGGAGGAAGGTTGAACGACATCGATCTGGAATACTTATTATTCAGAGTTCGATGACGAATCAAGCTACCCATAATTCGATAAACCGGAAGGAGGGCAGTGCGGTTGGAAGCGAACAATAACGTTACGTGGATAACGATCGACAGGTGAGAGAGAAGGAGAGAGACAGAGAATCGACCCATAAATTACACCTTGACCCGAGAGCGAGAAATAGAAAGAACTTTCTGATAAGGATCTCTCGTAACATCAGTTTATTCCGGATCTAAGGAAAGCTGCAGAGTCTCACGACTTTCGAAGGATAATCGCGGTGTGATTAAACCTCGGGAAAGAGACAAAGAGTGGTGGCCAAGAGTGGTAAAAAAAAAAAAAAAAAGAAAAAAGGAAAAGACAAAGAACGAGAAAGAAAATATCGTCGAAGAGTTTACATTAGAAAGTATGATGAGGCCGTTCTCCGCCCGAGAGATCTCCATGAAGCCCGCGTTAAAAGAATCTCTGGTCTGACCATATCGGTCGAACAGGTGTGCCTGTACGACGTAGGAATAAACGATTAGCGATTCGATTAGCATCCGTGGATCATATCGATCGCAGCTACGCGGCATTCCGAATGATACCTCCTCTTCTTTCGCAGATTTCGCAACAACGCCGAGAGGAGGAGATCGCGTATTTTTCACCTCGTCGAGGCTCTCACAGCTTGATCTCCCATCGATCCACTCGAATTATCGCCCCTCGTTCCTCGTTACCGTTAATTAACTACAACGCCTCGCAAAGGACGCGAAAAAACGAGGGTTGAAAATTGAAAAGCGTCACGCTTCCTCCCGAGTCACCAGCCGTGTTGCTATAAAAATCCTCTTTCCCATAGACAGAGAGATGTGGAGAGAATGCGTGCGCGCGTCCACCACCCTCTGGTCCTGCGGGGAGGGGGATCTTTGTCGCTTGGACTCGAGGGGGACAAAGGGGAGAAGGAAGAAGACTGTACGAAGGTACGCTGTTCGAAGGTCTGGGTCGAGGAACGAAGCGAAGAGGGAAGAACGAAAGAGGGAAGGAGGAGGGGGTGAGATGGATGGATGGACAGGTTTAAGGAGAAGGAAAGGAAGAAAAATGGAGCGGGTGGTGGTGGCGCTAGGCGATCGGAAGTGTGTCAAATTACAGAGGTCCGTGATATTAATGACTCCTAATGACACGGCCCCCTCCGTCCATGGGTCCTTTCCCCCACCTGGGGGACAGCCTGGATCCCCTCCACGAGCCTGATTTCCTTCCTACCGGTTTCCTTTCCTTCCCTTCCTCGCCGAGGCTTTTTAAGTGGGCTCCTCGCAGCGGCAGCAGCAGCAGCAGCCCCCTCGAAACCGATTCACGGAATCGGCATTAAGGGTACAATTGCTAATTGACGGAGGCTAATAGCAATAAGACAAACAATCGGGGGCCTTAAGTGCTATAAAAGTAAAACACAGGTTGCAAATGATGTCCTTTCGCGATCCTCGGAACGATGGATTCGTTCGAGGCTTGTCTTGAGGCCCGAGACAAATACGTGGGGAACGATCTCCTCCTCCTCTCCTCCTCCTCCTTCCCCAATAGTCTCTGGGATAGTGGTGAATCGCTCGAAGAAGATCTTTGGAATCTTCTTTCGGTCTGTTTGCCCGTTGGTAACGACCGGTTCAGCGTTTCCGAGAGTCCGGCCCGATTTTTTGCCACTCTTCCAAAGCTTTGTTAGAATCCAGCTTGGGTTCACGATGCTTATTTTTCGAAGGGGACGCTTTCGAAAGATTGTTCCGAGCTCTCTGAATCGAGAGATCTAGATCTTCCCCTCCCCTCCCTCTTTTTTGTTCGTCCTTTGCTCCCTTAAATGGAAGACGTGTTAATGAAACTGTTGAACACAATCATATTTCATATATTTTAAACGCGTCCTTTCCTTTTCTTCGCGAAGAAATCGTACCGATATATAATATTTATTCGACGAACTATCGTTATAGAAATGCAGTAAAAGAAAAGAAATAAAAGTATTCGAAATAACTACTTATTTAAATATAAGTAGCTATTATAATAGTTCACGCAAGATTTAAAAATTCTTCGTAATAAGATCGAAGAAGATTCGTCTCACGTTCGAACATCGACATCTCCAAACACCTTCGACGTCTCGAAGACAGACCGGTGATCCGGCTCGTTAAAGATCCAGTTTCGTTATTATCGTTCATTGGAAGACGTGTTACATTTGACGACACGTGACAATCTTCGAGAGAGATTGCACTTTTTTTTCTTTTTTTTCAGACGGTCAGCAGAATCGCGCACACCAAGAAACAGGGTGGACGCCTCTCACGCGAGCCTAAATTATCCTTATGGATGGGATCGACTCCCTTCTCGCTGTCACGTGAGAAGAAATTCTGTCGATCCTAGTTGGACGAGGCGATAAAATCCTTCGAAAAGTTCCTCGAATTTGTTTGTCGAAATTTTGGGGGAAAAAATCGTTTAGGGCCTCGGGGGGTTTCGACCAGGTTCAGGGAGGTTTCCACCCCCTTTTTTTTACGAGCAGACAAGTTTTTCGGCCAAGGACGAAGGCGTATAATATAACCCCCTTCCTGTCCGTTTTAAGAGGGAGAATTCCTCGTGGCAAATGACGAACCGCTGCGTTGCCTCTGCTGGTGGGCGGTATAATTGGTTTTATGACATATTTTACGTGGAAAGGGATCAGCCTTAGGATGCAGAGGCGGCTACGTTCTATTTCGGTAAACGGACGCTTGTGAACGAATGTTTGATCGTTTGATTACTCTTTTCCGATTAAGTGTACGTAAAAGTTTCAATTTTACTTCTTCTTCAAATCTTTTTCTTCAAGAAAAATATACTCAATAAAATATAATTTTTCCAAATATAGAATCACTTCTTTCTGTCCTCTCATTGTTTCATTGATCTTCCACCGTTATAACAATTTTGATCGATAAGCCAAGTGATAAATTAATTTCAGAAAAACGTATCGGATTTGAATCGATAATCGATCGGGCGAAATGAAGGGCCTGATGCCTGATACTTGGATTCATAATCGACGAATGGAAAAGAAACGGAAAAGGGAGGGGGGCGCACACGGTTTGAGACTGGTTTCGGGCTCCATTCGCGCTCGCGATTAATAAAAATCCCGTGGCGGCGGCTCGTCCGATTTCTTTGCCGTCTCTGAAAATTTCTCAATCAACCGGCACCAGGTTTCCTTACAGGCGGCGGATTTTCTGAGGCGCACAATGTAAAAGCCTCATCGTTGCAATTAAACGATGTTTGCCCGGCCCCGATCGGCCGCGCAAAAACCCGGCCTAAGAAATAACGACGCGGATTTATAATGCCCCGATACTTGAGTCCTTTCGCTCGAGGCCCTCCGCCTCGTCGTGTCGTATTATTCGTTTGTGAAATTTATGTTCCTGCCATCGGCGAAGGTTAAACCCTTCGTCGTACGTTAATCGCGTCGCGATTGGACGAGTTGGGGGGGAGGGGGCGGGAGAGGGAGGAGGGAGAGGGAGAGGGAGGAGGCAGAGGGAGGGGAGGGGGCGAGGAAGAAGAGGGTAAAGGAGGCGGACGACAGACGGGCGAACGGACGGATGAAACTCTGTGCAAACTCACCTTGTATGGATTCCGGCGAGGCTGGCTCCTTATCGATTCGGCCGAGCGCGTCGCTTGCTGCAACAAAAAGTGCAACGGGGGCCTCGTTAGTGACGTCGCGTTATAAAGCCGACGGGGAAACCTCGCCTTTTTCACGTAAAAATGATAGGAGACGCGATTCGAAAAAAGAATTTCCACGTCGGGAGCGATGGATGCCCTCCTCCGATGAGATGGTCCTCCCCCTCCCTTACCCCGGCCTTACCTGACCACAAAGATGGAGGAGCGGCAATTAATAAAACGATGCGATTCCTCTCGATCATTTGTGAGTCAAAAGTCGATCGGCTGGGGTTGGGGGGAGCAGCGTGTGCGGATCTTGGGAAAGGGAGGGGTGGGGAAGCTTGTAAACACCTCGATCGAGATTTTTATCTTCGGATGTTTCTTGCGTTACGAACGATACTAGGTACTTGTTAAGAGGATCCGTCCTAATTTCTGTTCGAGGGGATTTCGGGAATTTTCCCCCTCCAATTCTCTTCAGTCAGTTTGATAATTTTAACGCACGAGAAGCTAACCGAAACCCTTTTCTCTCCCTTCCTTGAACTTGAGACTTGAGAAACGACACCAGTTCGCTAATCAACCGCACGATCTCCAAATTCCTCGAATCCTACCAAACGGACCCGAAGTTTCGCCTCACCAAGCCCCTATAATTTCGACGACCAAGATCCGCTCGGCGCCCACATCGGACCTGATTAAACCCAGGGTAGCGGGGGGGACGATGCGTAAATACGATGTTGGGGGAGGAGAGGGGAGCGAATTATCATTATCGTTATCAATCGGACGAATTACGTTGAAACGATCATCGCGACACATGCCTGCATGTTCTTGGAAACGGCTACTCTTCCTGGAGTGAATCATCGATCGATATTCAAACAATGTATACCAAAGTTGGAACGAAGATGGTGGTAATTCGCAACGAAGATGACCGCTATAGATCACGAGAGGGTAGAGAAGGGGGGGGGGCAAAGAGACGCCTGGCCGGCCACCTACTACCCCCTAGGGAGTCGCAACTCAACCCCTGAAAACGACTGTATTCAGATAATCCCACCTTTCCTCTTCTCTCCCGTCTCCTCTTTTGGCCAGGACACACGCGACATTTCAATACCCAGATAACCCAGCGCAAATACGGTCGGATCTACGCGTCCCACGGCTTGGAAAATAACGATGACATATCGGGGGGATGCTGCACAGCTGATTTTTGTATTTTTCTTCTTCAGATTCAGAGAGAATTATTCCGTGAGAAGTAATATTCTGTCGAGTAATCGAATAATAATAAACGATGTTTTAATAGAGATGAATAAACGTCATCTTTTATATCATTTTTTAAATACATTGAAACATTTGAATAACACGAACGAGAGATTTGATCAGAGGAATAGATAAAATGAGATAAAAAATATTTTATATCTGCGATAATTATTTATGTACGTTTCATATATCATTCCGTGAGAACGCTTGAACGGAGCATAAATCTTGCGCTTTGAGCTTCGTTTCAACAGAAATTCAATGGAATAATTAAATTTTCATTCCAAGTAAAACGTTTTAAATGATTAGATAGCGAGTCGCGAACCTGTGTTTTCAGTGTAATTGTTGGAATAAGTTGCGAAGATCTGACGGTATAATCGCGGATGAAAAAGGAAACGGGAATGCGACCGCCTCGGTCTAACGATCATCGACGCGCCTCTGAAAAACGAACAATGCGAGATCCTTGATGCGCTCGTTTTCATTATTAAACGAAGGACTCTGGATGGAAACTGGCACACGATTACATTAAATATGAATCGTGGCCTCGTTCGTTCCCGCGTCCATCGATTTTTCTTTTTTTTTTTTTCCAACGAGTTAGTCACAACGAGTGCGACGAATACCCTCGGGCAAGTGTCCCTTCAACGATTGCGAAAGAAAAATGGCCGAGTCGAGTCGATCTATTACGATCTAGTACGATCTATTAAACATTAGATGTCGTCGAAATCGTAATTAAATCGATTCTTATCGTGTCTGAAACATGCAACGCCGTGAAACATTTAAAAGAGGAGGAAACGAGCCACGATAAACTCGAGTCATCCCTCTGCTCGTGGAAAAGGGTCTCCAAGGGGTTGTAAAGCTGTTACCTTTGCACCTATACAGTATTCAAAGTTCGAATTGGGCTCTAAACACGTCCCTATCCCCCTCCCCATCCTTCTTCTGTTTAGAAAAAACGACTACGTATTAAAGAATAAATAATCAGACGTTACCTGTCCTACTTTCGAAAGGTTACAATGATTATCAAATCATAGGAAATAAAATGATAAATAAATCATATATAATGATTCAAATTTAAGAAGATAATTAAGTAAGTATTTCCCCCTTTTTTTTCGCCTTTTCTCGCTGAAAATCACAATCCTCTCGGTCGTCGTCAATCATTCAAGGGAAAAATTCGTGCGTCCATCGAGCGCAACGTTCCGTCGAGAGATTTTCGTATTCACCACAGACGAGCGACGTCACTTATTAATTCGACGGGATCCCCTTTCTCTGACAGTCTGAAATCGCGTGTCCACGGACGCAACCCTTTCTCCCTTAGTATTCATAAAGGTCAGCCGGGTTCTCTCTCGCCTCTTGGGTGCCATTTCTCCGTGCACGTATTCCCATTCATCCGGGTTACGTGGACGAGACACCTGTACGTACGTCCGCAGCCGACAGTTAGCCGCGGACAGGTGAACTCCACCGGCTGTCGAAAAAACGATCGTGGGCAAAAGCTTGGGATATGTCCAAGTCAACGACCGCCTCGAAATAATGCAATGGAAGAGATCGATCTTCGAATATGAGTGGAGTTGAACAGGATATCTCGTTCGATCGCAGACTAATCACTAATTTGTATATGTGCTTCCTTCCTATTTATTCATTAACTCTTTTTCATTGATTAATCATCAATAGATATGATTAGAAATATATATATTGTCACAATTATTGTTTAATCGAATTGGGTTTTGTAATTCTGAGTGAGTAGCATAATTTTAAGAGTATTGATCTGGCAAGAGGAGGACAGATCGATATAATTCGTGATATAATTTTAAGAAAATGAGGAAAAACGTTGAAAAGAAGTATATAAATTTTTTAAATAATCATCATCGTTGCTCTGCCAATCAGAAATATTCATTTTCCGTTCCTAAATATAAGAGAGAATCGGATCAAATTGCAGAAAACTACCCAAAATCTGTAATAAATCATTTTACACCATACACGTATTGCGTTTCAATCTTTCCAAACGAACAAGAGAATCAAAAAGAAAGAAGAGAAGGCGAAATTTTCTCGAATCTTTTGCCGAAAATGTAAATGATAAAAATGAGAATTTTTTTTTTTTTTTTCTTCGACTTCATTCGACTTCCGAAATTCGAATCGAACGCGTCCGAAGGAAAACGAGATTTTAATATTTAAACCACGCCACGATACAATAAGTGTAATAAGCATAGAGGCGACCGTTGGCCGGCGCACAAGAGACGGTTGAAATATTAATGCTGACATTTCGTTGCTTTGCGGTAGTTTAACCACACCTCCCTCCGACTCGGGGCTTTCAAGGCTGCGGTTTCCGTCCGTGGAACGATATTGCGCTCGGCCATTCCCGTCGCGATATATTCTAATCGCGGTAAATTCGCAGCGAGCACGCGTTTCCTCGACTTATCCTTTTTTCCTCCCTCCCCCTCCTCGTTGGATCACGCCAACTGGAGATCCACCCCCTTCCCCCCATCCTCGAAGGAGCATCATGAATACCAGATGCAGGATCTGGATACAGTCTAGTTTTGCGTGGTGCCCCGGCCTTCTCATCAATTTTTAAGAACCCACCTTGTATAATACGTATATGCACCGACGTTAGATATGGAAACCACGTTCCCAGCGTGAATACAGCTGGGGGGGAAAATCGTGCCCTCGTAACCGGGCGTGAATAGCGATGAGAAATCGCTGCCAGATAGTTGGAACGGGGAGGGGGGATGTTCGCGTAATGGAACAGATTTCCCTTGTCTCTTTCAGTTACCAATTGTTCCGTAATTTTGAAACGAAGATAAGGATAAATTTGAGGAAAGACTCGCGTATATATATATCTATTTCCTGTATAATACTCGACGAATTCGCAACAACCCTTACGTAGCACGAGAAATATTTTCGACACGTTCACATTGTATCACTTCTAAGCTTTTCTCGGATGCAACGAATTAATCACAAAAGGATTGTTAATTATTACAAGAACTGTAATTTTGAGTTCGAACGGTATGACACATGGGAATAAAAGTTCAAGAAGATCCGCCCCCCTCCACCCATACATCAAGATAACCGAGTGAACGAGCGTCTCTTTCGCGCTAGGAGAAAAATCCTAATTCGTGGCAAACGGAAATTCGAGAGAGAGAGGAAATGAAGAAAGGTAGCGGGAGAGCGAGCGAGTGAAAGAGAAAGAGAGAGAGAGAGAGAGAGAGGGGAGGAGGGGGAAAAAACGCGCGTTGGAAACAACGTTCTTGTACGTGAGCCGAGACTTTTTCCAATTACAAACGGCGCCATTCGCGAGCCGGCTGGCGGCGATTATTTTTAAAACAAGAATATTCCCTTTCCGCCCCGGGACATAATGAGGAAGGGGTAGGGGGAGGAGGGGTAGAAGGAGGAGGAGGAGGAGGAGGAGAGAAGCACGGTCGGAGGGCGCGATAATGGCGGCCGTTATGAAGAAATCAACCCACCCCCGCGTCCCTCCGCCCCTCACGCCGCCCCTCTGCCCACTTGATCTTCCGTTTCCATGGCGACCGCCTTGTCCAACGGACCCCTGCCCGCAAACAGGGTGGTTGCGAGCATTCTCTCTTATTATGAGACTCGCTCCACCCGCGAAAGGGTTGCGGCCACCCGATTTCTACGACTTACTACGCTTACGTCCGGATAATTTTCAAAAACGTCTCTCTTTATTAGAGAGCTATGCTAAAGGCAAACTATTTCGTGGATATATTAGAATCTCGTAGATGGATCTCTTCGTTAAATTGATTTTCTGGTCAGACGAAAGGCGAGGAATTTTC